CTAAAAAAAAAATCACTTTGATCTATTGGACAATTATAGAGCGTCAGGATTCCAATGCAAGGTGGTAGAGATACTCGTGGTTTAACAACAGTGTGTTGCCCACAAGTTCAAGACATGGCGGCCATAATATAATCAATTCTTGCGGTGGGAAGCTTCGTGCAAAGTCAATAAAGAGGAGGATACATGTTCAACTAGTGCCTCGGCAAAGGTGTTTATCAAGAAGGCTACATGAAGGAACAAGTGCACAACGTTGGAACCAAATTCTTAATGAGCAATGGGGAAACGAGCAAATCAAATAGGATGCTAAATATTGGACTTGAAATAAATTGGAACCGGGCTGCAAGATAACTAGAGGGCTATGTTATCCTACTAGTTCAGCACGTAACATGCATAAGATGCAAATTGCAAGTACCAATCACCTTTGAGTCACCAAGGGTGAATCAAAATAAGCATGCAAGAGCCGTTGCTAAAGTTTCTTTCAAACAATAAAGTAGGGGAAGCAGAGCTTTGGGTACCTAGTAGACAGAAGGCGGTGTCGTCAGAACACAATGGTGGGTAGGCGCCAATTTGGTAGTAGCAATAATGGTTGGTACTAAGCAGCGACAGTCGTGTTTTGAAGAACAAGCAAGCAACTGCAGTAATAGCAACAGCCACACTGACGATAATCCGATGAAGTAAAGAATAAAACTCGTTCAGCTTCTCTGTTATTAAGGAACTGGCGGCCGGACTTAGCTATTTATAGTGAAGAAGGGATCCTAAAACCTAGGAAAAATAAGCAGGACCGTAGCTTTAGTTCGAATAGAATTAGGCCTCTATATCAGTTGAAAGTCTTTTGGTCGAAGAAAAACAATTCCTCGCGAAGTCTTTTGAGTTTTGAGGAGATTGGCTCCGTGCCGGTGATAGGCTCCATTGCAGTTGGTATTCGGACTTCTAGATCGTTTGGACTTTGAGACTAACAAGGAACGGAAGTTGTTGATTCAAGAGTCCTAGTCATATTAGAGGAATTTTCTTATGATTTGCTGCTCAAGTTCCCGAGGCCGACAGGGATAAGTGGTCTTGAAGTTTGGAAGCGGTGGAGTTCCGTGGGTTCCTATGATTTCTATGATCAATTGGATTCCTATGATTTCCGTGTGTGATTGGTAAGCAGAATGCATGGAAGATCAATTGATTCCTATGATTTCATTTTTGAAATGCCTTGCACGTGAATGGTTAAGCAAGCAATATGCAATGTTCCCCATATGAATATATTGGGCTCTCTTGAGGACAAAAGGTTATAATTAAAGTTGATGGCCATTATTATTATTCTTAATGGAGCATAGAGTTCGGTTTCCTTAAATGGCGAGTGAATGGAGAAAATCAACGTATTTCGTTTAAACAAACTGGGAGATTATAAAGTCGAAACTTGCCCGTTCAAGTTTTACTCTTCGCAAACAAGTTTCGAGGGGGCATTTGTAGACAATGAAATTTTAATTAATTCTTGAAATTACCATTGGTCTATAAATTATTTTTATGACTTGTTTCTGTCCAATCGGATATTGCCATATGTTATGTACACTTGGAAAATTGGTTATTAAATGGCCAATTATATTTTGTCACATGTCAAGTGAGGTGTTCCAAGTCAAGTCAAATTGCAGGGATATCTTCCCCAACTAAATCATATCATGTCACCTGTCTATTGGATAAATATCTAAGTATTTATTTCTTATTAAAGAGATAATATTTGGAGTCGTTTAATCCATATGTACTTCTTATATATTGCAATGGCTTGTCCAATCAAATGGCGCCACGTCACGTGTCCCTACAAGTTTGGCCAATCAAGGAATTAGTTATTGGTATTATCTCTTTATTAATACAAAATGAAGAGATAATATTTAAAGTGATACAGTCCTAATATGACTGCACGTCTTGCAAGACAAGTAAAGTAGTACACAGGTTTTCAACCTCTACCTCTTGCTAAAACTATAAATAGAAGTCTCTCAACCAAATCAAGGACACAGACACACAGAGGCACACACCATGAGGCATCTCATACACTCAAGTGGTGAAGTTCCAAGTTACGAAGGTCTGGGTCTTCAATCTCTTCAAGTCTTCCATATATCAGGGCTTGAACCTCCAAACATTTTCAAATCCTTCAAATCTTCCATATCAAGATTTGAAGGAATCGGTGATGGATCCAAGAACAAGCTACGAAGCCCTTGGATTGGCGTTCGAGGAGAAGAATCGAGAGAAACTCTCCACAAGTTCGAGAAAACCCCAGAGATTGTACCTACATATTTTCCTAAATTTATATATCATATATTTGTCGTGTATTTTTCTTGTCGTTTTGTAGACTTGAAATTTTTATCGCGTATAATTCTGTAATAGATGTTCTTTTGATAATTGAAAATGATGGCCTGGTGGAGCAAAGAGGTCAAGCATATGCACTTCTTAATTCTTTGCAATCTTTTGAATTTGCATTTATTTTACACTTGATGAAGAAAATCATGGGAATAACGAATGCACTATCTGAAGCATTACAAAGGAAGGATCAAGATATTGTGAATGCTATGGGTCTGGTCAAAGTTTCCAAGCAACAATTACAAGCTACTAGGGAAGATGGATGGGATTTTTTACTTGATGAAGTTTGTTTGTTTTGTGAAAAACATGAGATCATCATTCCGAAAATGGATGAAATGTTCATTACTAGTGGGAGATCTCGAAGAAAAGTTCAGCAAATTACAAACCTTCACCACTATCGAGTTGAGCTATTTTGTGCTGTCATAGATTTACAACTCCAAGAACTCAACAATCGTTTCAATGAAATCAATATGGAGTTGCTTCTGTGTATGGCATGCTTGAACCCAAGTGATTCCTTTGCAGCATTTGATAAGAAAAAGTTGATTCGTCTTGCAGAACATTATCCTTGTGAGTTTTCTAAGTTGGATATTCTTGCACTTGACACTGAATTGGATACTTATATTAATGACTTGAAATCAGCTAAGGAATTTCTCGATTTAAGAAAAATCTCTGATCTAGCTCAAAGGTTGGTGGAGACTAAGAGAGATATTGTGTATCCATTGGTTTATATGCTCTTAAAGTTGGCTTTGATTTTGCCTGTTGCTACAGCTACAGTAGAAAGAGCTTTTTCAGCTATGAATATAGTGAAGAATTGGTTACGAAATAGAATGGGAGACACTTGGATGAATGATTGTTTAGTAACTTATATTGAGAAAAATATATTTCGTGAAATTAAAAATGAGAAAGTTGTAAACCGTTATCAAAATATGAAAACTCGTCGTGAACAATTGTAAATAGTTTAGTTTGTTTTTGAAATAAAATTATTATTACATTAATAATTTTGAGTTTGTCTTTTTATGTTTTTCATGGAATATACATATCATTTGTACTTGTTAGTGAATTTATTTTTTTTTTGCTCAAAAAATTAAAAAAAGAGTAAATAAAAAATTTTAAGTATTATTTTTGCCCCCACTAAGATTTTTTTTTGGCTCCGCCACTGTCCCAAAATGACTAACAAACAGGATAATAAAGTTTTAGACTAATTTATCCTTACCAGTAATGCAAATTTATACTATTATAATTATATAATCCTACTCTCACACGATAATATAACATGAATAGACTAATTTGTCTCTACTAATTAATTTTAAAGTTTTTTTTGACTAATTTGCTTTGACTACTAACATAACAATATTTGGACTAATTTGCCCTTATGAATGATACAAATTTATACTGACTGTTATATAACCATATTTTCACATAATAATATAATAATAAATGGACTAATTAGCCCCTACTAATTAAATTAAATTTTTTGACTAATTTTCCCATATTCATTATTTTAAAATTTTTGACTAATTTACCCTTATTAATTAATTTAAAATTTTTAACTACTTTGTCCCTACTAACATCATAATAAAAGGACTATATTGCCCTTAGACTAAATTACTCTTACTAAGCTTATTTTCTTGACCAAATTCCATATAAATACATAATTCTATCAATTGGGCTTTATGAATGAGGACTTCAATAAGCTCAAACTCGACCCAAAGAAAAATTTTCTATATTGGCTTGAGGTCGGTTCATTTAAAGCTCATAAATGGGTTAGATTTTAATTGATTTAACCCCAATTTAGTCAAAACTTGGCCCATTATTTAATTGGATTTCAAATTTAGGTTCAAAAACTCAGTCAAACCTATTTTTAAGGGTCCAAAAGGGCGAAGTTTGAGTGAATGGAATTTTTTATATATTAAAACCCTTGATTTACTCTATAATTCAAAGTTTCAAACTACTATATTTTAATAAAAGTTATAAGCTCAAGCTCGACCCAAAGAAAAATTTTCTATATTGGCTTGAGGTCGGTTCATTTAAAGCTTGTAAATGGGTTAGGTTTTAATTGATACAACCCCAATTTAATCAAAACTTGGCCCATTATTTAATTGGATTTCAAATTTAGGTTTAAAAACTAAGTCAAACCTATTTTTAAGGGCCCAAGAGGGTTAAGTTTGAGTGAATCGGATTTTTTATATATCAAAACCCTTGATTTACTCTATAATTCAAAGTTTCAAACTACTATATTTTAATAAAAGTTATAAAATAATAAATTTATTATTATTATTATAGTAAATTATTTTATTAATATTTTATGAAATATTAAATTGCTTTATTAAAAAGAATTTACAAACTAAGGGGTATTTTGGTCATTAAATTAGTAATCCTACCTTATCCAATCTCCAATCAAACATAGAATAGATTATTTTCCAACGTATCTTATTCAACTCAGAATCAACCAAACATTGAATAATTTGGATTATTAATTCGAGAATAACTCAATTCAAGATTAATAATTCGAGAATAAATTATCTCTTATCCACCATCCACGTATTTACGCCAAGTGACTTTGTAATATTATAAGATACTTGGATAGTGCAATATGCCACGTGTACTCTATCCATGCTACCCAATACAATGAATGACTGTGATTTAATGTGCATTAATCCTTCGTACTAAAACTAAACTAAACCAGAAGGTTGGCAGAGTAAAATAGTAAATCTATCAATCATATTCATCAATGGCGTCGACGAACCCTCAGCCGGTGGCTGCACTGCATAACGTGTTTGTCTACGGCAGCCTCTTAGCTGACGACGTCGCTCGTGTCCTCCTGAATCGTGTCCCTGCTTCGTCGCCGGCCATCCTCCATGACTAGTCAGTTATATCGCTTTTATCTCTTTCTTGCTCATCATTTTTGTTTATGACCATGCCGTATGATGCAATTGTTTTGAATAACATAGGCGATAGAGCTTGTTAGCTCTTCCTTTCTTTCTTTTTTTGTGGTTCTTGAGAAAATCTGTGTAAAGGGCTCGCTTGGGTCCTTCAATTATAACGAGTGTGCAATTTTAATTTTACTTGCAAACCAGTTTTACTGACTATTGTAGCCTGCACAAAACGATGTGCATTTGATATAAAATTTTACCTTAATTCTTCATTTAAATTGGCGTTTTCTTGTCTAAGATTATTGGGGAGTTTTGCCGGATTCATTATATTATTGGGAGATTCTATGAAGGTATCATTGGCTTTAGTTGGATATAAGCTATTAGATGAACATATTGAAATGATAATAAATCAACGGTTTAATTGTGATACAAAGGTAAGTGTGTATGGTAGAATTTCCCTATATTTAGGACTAACCATTTTTGGAACTGTAGGACTAGTTGGTAAACGCTTTTCATTGGATGAAATGCCCTATTTGATTAGCCTTAGTTGGCTAAGTAGATATTTCAGTATAGCTGGATAGACCCATCCGCTGGTTGAAGGCAGAAAAGAAAGCCGATTCTCTTCTTTGTGGCAGGATGAAGGGAGAACATTTAGGGGATGCATAAATCTCATTCATATTCAAATATGCACCTCAATTACATGCAGCCGGGAGAACATTTTACAAATTTATAGGGGGACAAATTCTTCAAGCAATTAGGCATTGTTTGTTAACCAATGAAAGAACCTCTTCAGCCCAAACCAATAGCCTAGGGCCCTAGGGTGTCACCTTGATATGGATTGAGATATTGTACTCAAAGAGAGTAGTCCTGCCTATGTAGCAATGCTGGCTTAATGAACTACACTGACTGGAGTCTTCTTTTGCTTGCTTTGTTATTTATCAAGTGGGAGTGACTTGTTAAAAATTTAATGCAAGAAATTTGATTGCCTTGTTCCTGCAGCCATCGGTTTAGCATCAAAGGAAGAGTTTACCCAGCAATCCTACCTATTGAAAATAAGCAAGTATCTGGGAAGGTTGGTTTCTTATACCCTTCTTTTTAGCTTTTTAGCTAGTGGACTGGTAGAGGTTTTCTTGATCAAGGAAATGATTTTGTCACTTTGTGGACATGTTGGGTAATTCATCTATAACATGATCCCATTACATGAGTTGCTCAGTGACCATTTTCATTCAATTTTTTTTTTTTATACTTTTCAGTTCTTCTTTGATACGAAAACAATGTTATGTTTCCTTTCAATTTTGATCTTATCTAGTGGCATCCCATTAGGAGTATTTGTGATATCCTCTAGTATCAAATGCTAAATCACAGATTGAGTTACCAATAGATAAATTAAAATAAGCACTTGTGATATCTGCATATATCAATATTATTATGTACAAATATCTGAATAGGACATCATCAAATGCTACCTCATAGCAAATGGGAATGGAGGGCATTGATGTAGGATAGAGCTTGGTAAAGATTGATATTTTGATGTTGTGAATCTTGCCGTCCCTCCACCCCAGAATCATTGTTGCTCTTTCCATAATTCTGTGAATTTTGTTAATTATTTTTAGAATTTTCAATTTCTACATCATAGTTCTCAATATGAGCTTCTGGTATCATTCTTTTTAAAAAGTCAAATAAAATCATTGATTACAACAAAGGCTGCCTTGACCAAAAGCCAACAAGGCTGATAGGCTAATGGCACGAGGAGAGTATTTTGTTGTGGTGCAATGGTACCTGCAGAATGGGGGTGGACTGGATTGTTGTGAAAAGTGATCAGTGGAGTGGTCTTTATTTGATTTTGCATTGGCTTCTCTAACAGAGAGCTAACCGATGGGGTGGACTGTGCATGTGGTTAAGCAAGATTATGCTCAGTTTGATGGGTCTATCTGAGGTGGGAAAAGAATATTGATTTGTTCTAACTAGTGGCTTTCTGAAATAGAAAGTGTTTTCTTTTTTGCCACAGAACAGAAAGTGGAAACTGTCATATTATCATATTGCCCCTTTATATATATATATATAGGTCATGGTTGCACATATAACTTTATAGATTGCAAATCCTTTTGATTAACTCATTAAGAGTGAGTTAAACATGTTCATGATATTCTTGGTTTAAAGAAATACCATTCACTTGTTATTTCCTGTAAATGTTAATTCAGGGATTCCCTAACTTGTCTTTGAATTGATAATATATTGCATAGAAATCTTGATTCTTTGGGTCTTAGTTACGAGCAATGAACTGGAACTTGAATAGAAAAACTCTAGAGTCTTCAAGTCTTCGGTAATTCTTGTTCTTCTACCTTTTGTTTTATATTATTCTAGTTATATATTGAGAAGGTAAGATATTGATAATTGGGCACAAAAGAAGTTGCAATCCTGAGTACAAAAGCTGCTTATTGGTTTGTTGAGTAGTGTGCTTTGTCCAGGAATTTACTATTATATAAGCAGTCCTTTGGCAACTATCAGCCAACCAAAAATAAAAACTATTTCATAAGGCAGTTTTAATGTGATCTAAAGTTATTTAAGTTCCTCAAAAGCACTGTTGTAATGTTTTTCCTTTCCAAAATAGCAAAAAGGACGCACACGGGAGCAAACCCCATATTGCACTTTGTTCCTGCACTTCCTGTGGAAAGTCCTATTCAGCAGTAGGCTTCTAACAATTCCAGACGTAGTCCATTTTATGCCAAAAAATAGCTTAATCTGGAAATCACAATTAGAAGCAGGTGGTTAATCATTTCCTCACTTCTCAGATATACTAGATGGCAGTTCATTTGTTCCTTGTTTCTTTTCCTTGAATCTTGTTACCTGTCAGAATATATTCATGGGCTGCTTTTCATACAAGGAAAAGTACTCTTTTGGATATGGCATGTTCCAATTTTGTTTCCAAGGACACTCCTGCTTCCTGGGTACCTTTTATTGTTTCTCATCGAGACAGCCCTTGTGAGAATCAACCAGTTCATTTCTGACATCATAGGATTATAAATCTCTAAGAAATTCCTACAACTACTGGTACTACCGGTCATGGGAGGTTCTATCTATATTGTTGCTGTTACAATGTGACCAGTGTAATATGGGTAATACATTTGAGTAAAAAAGTCACTTCCTGATTGTCTGGCATTCTGAATAATGTTGGGTAGTTGTCATTTGATGGCTCCCTTTTCTTCCATAATCTTCCCAGAAAACTGATATTGCTATCATCCCCAAATTTAAAGTCCAATTGCTCTTCAAGTTCCCCCAATCCACTTCCTATACTTTTGCAAGCTGTAACTCCAAATGTTCCACTGATTGATTTAGTTGTCCACCTCTTTCAGCATCTATATTAGGCTGATTATCCACGTCCATAGGTTTTTCTCTTCCTAGGTGAATCCGTGAAGCCATGTCTAGAGCAGAGCCTTGTTGAAGTCCACTATAGTTGAATCCAGTTCCTCCATGGTTGAGAGGAAGCAGGTTTTATTGGATATCTCAGTGCTTGCATACTCATTCTTGCTTGAATCTTGTTGCAAGTTGTGATCCCTATGTGTGTTCATATTCATAGGATGTGGCAAATCTGTTTTTGAACTAATGTTTTGTTGAAAGTGGGAATGGAAGGATTTGATTGTATTTCCGTTGCCGGTGAAATATGATACATGGACTAATTAACATGCATGGGAACCTTTGTGTAACTGAGGAAATTTCTAATTGGTGACATCTCTGCTATCCTGATCTCCTTTCTTTTTATCCCCCCTTCTTGTGGGCCTTATAATTATAGACACTGATTACTTTCAGTAATCCTTTACAATGGAAATGAATTATCTTGGATGGGGCACTTCATATCTCTTGCTTTAAGTATGCTGATTGTTTAGCTATATTGAAACAAGGAAACCGGTCCTGCAGGTTTGCTATTGAATTGGAGCATTTGACCCTTAGAAAGTGGAACACCTTTTCTCTAGGTGATATGATACTGAATCGACCTAGCGTGTTTTAATATGTTGAGAAGCGTATGACTTGAGATTCATGTTGATATTTTTCTGTATAAGCAACAATAAATATAGGCAAGGCCAGATCGTCATAGGAGGTACTTAGAAAGATGTCTTTATTTGTTGATTACACCTATCTTATCTAGATTTTATTGTTTTGAAAGTTTTTGTGCAGGTTCTTTCGGGCATTACTCCTTTTGAGTTGCATATTCTCGATGAGTTTGAGGATGTTGAGTATGAAAGGCAGACTGTTGATGTTTATTTGATGGTATGTCAAACCTAACAATAATTCATATCTTGCAATTGCATATCCTTCTCATTGTTACATCATAGAGAATGTATTAAAAAATGACATTTCATGGAGCATAGAATGTTACATGCTCCACGGCATTCAGAAGCTCTTGTTATTGGTGGGAACATCTTTGGTAGCTTCTTAGTGGTGTGCATTAAAAGAAGAAGTGTTAAAGACTTAAGGCAAGTAACTAGTGATAATGTTATGCAGGATTTTTTTAGGCTTCAGCACTGACATTGACATCTCTATTTTAGTGCTGGAGGTTAAAACTTACAAGGTAAATTGAATGACTTTGTAGGATAGCTCTGAAAAGTTGCAGGTAAGCACTTATGTTTGGAGCAACAAGACTGACCCAAAGCTATATGGAGAGTGGGATTTTGAGGTAATCTCTGGTTCCTCCTTTGGCTATTATTTTGGAAGTTATATTCTGTTTTGTACCCATTCTATTTTGTGTGTTATTGTGTTAAAGTCCGTGTTCCCTTGATGATTTGATGAAGATCCCTCAGAGTAGTCTAGAGATTGGCAAATAGCAAGAACCCAAAATTGCTGTTCTTACAATTTTGGGAAACTTTTTTCATGCTGTAGCTTGTGATCTTTTGAGACATTCTCCCTTCAACTGCAAATAAAGCTAGACTTTTGGGGGCCGATCTTGGCACCTTAAAGCTAACTTGGAAAATTTGCGAGTAACATAGAATTTCCTGGGTCTTCATTGCGTATTTATTTCAAACAGTACTTTTTTGAAAAAAAAAATGTCCCATCTTGCATATAAAGTGTGCAGAGTTCTTTGTTGAACAAGTTTTTTTGTGTTCCACTCCTCTCCCCCCATTGAAAAAAGGAGCAAGCCAGAGAGAGAGGGGAAAAAAAATGAAAAAAGAGCTAAAATCCTTTATTTCCTCTCTGCTTTTGAATCCATAATTTTACCAGGAATGGAAACGCTTGCACAAGGAAGAATTTATAAAGATGTCACTTGGTTTTATGGAAGAACTGCAGCTACCTGAATCAAAGCCCAGGGTGACAACTTATGAATCTTTCTTTCAGCCAAAAAATGATGGTCAGAGTTGAGCACCTTGACATGAATCCTTAACATCATGCTTCGTGGATCATGACGGGTGATTCATTCATATGTGCTGCAATTTATACAGTGTATATAATTAGCCTATGAACTTGGGCTTTATTTGGGGGCCACTATCTAAGCAGTTGCAATAGGAGCTAAAATAACACCAGAGTGGTTTCATTTGCCTTGATCATGGAACCTGTCCTTGACATGGCCAGCAATATACAGTATCAAATTCTCCATCTTCAATTTTCAATAATTTTTTTGCTCAAATTTGTATGAAGCATATGCATTGTTATAATGGCATTCACTGATGCGATGTGGTCCACATATTTACATAGTATACCGCAAGCCTTGTGCTATTCGATTCTGTTGTAGCCTTAACGATCTAGTGCATGCTTAGCTCCAATGAACCAGTGCATTTATATTACATTGGAATGTTTATTTTCTCTTCTTTTCTTCTTCTTCTTCTTCTTCTTTTGGAAATCATCACCCATTGGTCATTTATGCAAGAAAATGGTGCAAAATGTTTGTGCTACCCAGCCGTTCTTCCATAATTTATGGAAACCGTACTTGTCTGCATCCTGTTCTTCCATAATATTTGTGCTTGGCTGCATCCAGGAGTCAGAATCTAATTTCCCTCTTTCTCAAGGGGCGGCCATGTTCTTCTCTGAGTAGTAAATGCCGCATGTGATATTTTCAATTTAATGACAAAGTGAGGTAATAGGTAAAGAATGTATACTGCTGCTACCTGAGCGGTGGAGTTGGAAATGAGACTTCTCATTCTATCGCAATCATTTACATGGACAGAACTTAGATAGCAGGAGGAAACATTCCAGTTGGACACTTGCTAATCTGGACTAACACCAACTGATTGAGAGACTCCAAGAATGGAAAAACACTTATATTCAATATTCCAGCATATCACAATCATCAATCTGCAGTTCTTTCAAGAATTGGAGTCCTGCTGGAATCAAGTGATTTAGTACATCCTTTCACACCATTTTTCCTTGTAAACTAAAAACTTACAGTCAGCATTTTCCTTATGGTTCTCTATCCACGTTGTCATCTTTCAAGGCTTCCATAATCAACATTTCCTTCACACCCTATTTATTTTAATTTTCTTGAATTCAAACTCGAGCTTGATCATATGAGCTGAGTCCGAGCTTAAGTGATATAAATTAATATTTTGTATAATTTTAAACAAGAGACATAATAGACATTCACACTCGTAAATAAAATTCAAATACATATACTTGAAACTCAACTGAACTTGACGAGTTCTCAGACCTTATGTATTAGAGCCATCAGAGCTGTTTGAATAAAAGGTCTCTATCAACACAAATTCAAACTCAAACTCAAAGTTTGACAAGCAAACTCGCTAGTAGCTCGATTGAGCTCAACTAGTTTGCATCCCAACTCTTTGGTACTTCTTGAGTTTATGTCAAGATATCATTTACGTAAAGAATGAAACTTATCATGTGAATACCCTACCTAACCAGCTGTCGCCATACATGCAATTAAAACTACATCATTTTCGATCATGCCATACTTTGAGTGTTCATTCTTTTGTCTGAACAACAGCGCTAATTAGAAGTAACTATTCCTTAGGCAATGAAAACAATATAGGATCCCTGTTTAGGTTCTTCTTCTTCTTTTTAACATGCGAATGAAGGGATTTGTTATCAATACCAGCGACTGGGACGAAGCGAGGTCCGTATGTAAAGCTTTTTCATAATTTCCTGCCCGACATTGGGCAAAACTAGATAAGTGACATATGGAAAACCAGGAAATAGTTGCAGTTGCATTGGAAAAGAAATAGTGTTCCACCAAGGACCAGGCTAGTTCAGTACCATGTAAAAGCTTTTCATAACCTGGAAATGAAGGGAATTGTTATCAATGCCAGCCACTAGGGACCAAGCTAGTTTAGTATGTTAAAGCTTTTCATATTTTCTTGCCAGAAATAGTGCACAAAACTAAATGATGTTATCAGTGAAATTGTAAGAAATTGAGAATCAAGGAGTAGCTTTGCAGTTTGGAATGTCATCAGTGAAATAGTGTTGCAAAATTGGGACCAAGCTAGTAATTTGGTATGTAAAGTAGGGATGGGTACGGATCGGGTACCCGCCCCTAACATGATTTAGCTGACCCGACCCTAATATTTTCGGATCAACCATTTTGTGACTCTAAGCCGCTCCTAATATCTTCGGGTACCCGAAAAAAAAAATGCGGGTCATAGGGTACCCGCCTTATGACCCGTCCCTAAAAAAAACTATTTTTCAATAAAAAAATTGCTTTTCACTTAATATCAACATGTTTTTCAATTAAAAAAACATGCTTTCCAATTAATATTAGTAGAGATATTGTAATTAAAGTCCATACATCACCATTTTCACACATTTCATCCAACAATCAAATCGCTCTCATAAATTTAGTATATATTAGAATTATAATATCTAATAGATAAAACGAAGTTTCATAATAATTTTGAGTACATCACCATTCTCACACATTTTATCCTTCTACAACACAACAAACACAAGGATAATGAGTATTTGGCAACTTCCCCAACTTCCTTAAGGATGTTATGGTACAAGACTGCATCCCAAATAAGTCGATAGTGAAATCAAGTTCAGAAAAGAATTGAATAGAACTAATTATTTTTGAAAAAAGTATAACAAAAATAACCTTGAAAAATCTTCCCCAACTTCTTTACATCTTTGGAATAGACCTTATGGTATTAAAGGTGATGAAAAAGAAAAATAAATTTCTTACACTAAATAAAAGAGACAAATTTAAGAGACATAATTGCAATAAAATAAATCAAATAAATAAATAAATGAAAGACACAAATGTTTTAATTATCTAGCTAACAGAAAATTGAAACTCCAAACACAAATCTTTGATTGAATTGATGCAAAATTTGCAGGAAAGGTCGATGGAGGTAGAATAAAAATAAAAAAGGATGAAAGGGATAAACAATTTTTATAACAGAGTTTCACAATTTTTTTTTCATTTTGTTCGTTTGGTTCATGTTTCATCGAGAATATTCGCTTTCTTCAAACAAGATGAGGAAAGGTGGATCGTATGGGATTAGAATATAAGTCTTTGAGCCACTTCACTTGCACTTAGAATTAAAAATTATAAAGTTATAAAATGATGCATAATTTTTTAATGTTTATATAATATACCCTGCGGGTTTGAATTTTTCTGATCCCCATCCATATCCGATTTTTGCAGGCACCAAACCCTCCTCTACCCCGCTAAGAAAAATCGGATCGGATATCCTATTTTTCGGAAGAGATTGGATCGGGTTCACCGGATTTTCGGACCAACGGGTTTTTTTGCCCACCCCTAATGTAAAGGCCTTTCATATTTTCGTGCTAGAAAAAGTGAACTAAATGATGTCATTAGTGTGACATTATAAGAAATTGCCAACCAAGAAATAATGTTGCTGTTGCACCGTAAAGAAGCAAAGAAAAAGATATAGCTCTGCATTTACACCAAAGTTGTCCGGTTTAGATTGCACTTTTACAAGTTTTTCGGAATGTTTCAAGTAATAGTTTCAAAAAACCAACGGCCCTTTGGACTGTTGCCACCTCCGAAGACTTTAAATCTTGGTGGGGTGAGAGGTCAAGAGTTCAAATTTTGCATCCCATTAATTTGCCACTATATGTAGCTTCTTCTAAATTCATACAGGTACGTAATGCACTCATTTGGTCCAATGGTGGTTCAATCCCCATCGATTTCTCTAAGTCTCGTTGTACCTCTCCCTCTCCCCCTCCCCCCACCCAAAAAGTGTAAGCTAGAGTAGGAGTCGATTAGGCTAATTGTTGCCGTCTAATAAAAAAAAAGTAACAGTATCAAAAGTGATGGACGTGAAATAAGAAAATTATTTATAATGTGTCCAAAAATTGTTTTCTAGAAACTTACAAGCCAAACAAGTTTACATCAATTCCAAGTTCCTACGGGATTTTATATACAGCATTCCAACTTTTAACGAGGTCTTAATGAGTCTTTCCACAAGGTAAATTATTATAATTTCTTTTTGAAGGAAATTAAACCAAACTATTTTAGTATTTAGTTTCCTAATTCAGTTTGATATTTTATTTATTTAGTTTCTGTATTGGTTTAGGAAATATAAAATCAATTTTTCAAATAAGTTTCGGTTTACAATTGTATTTGTTTTAGAAAATTTTGAAATCTATAAAAAACTACTAGTTTAGTAGGTTATTATTTGAAGAGTTGAATTGAATCTTGAGAGTAGATTTGAGAGAAAGTCTCACAGTTGAGATTTATAAGTTGTCGTGAGTGAAAAGTTACGACTTGATATTATTATTGGTTGGGTTTTGTTGAAATTTGAGTTAATTAAATTATTGAGTATTTGTTCTCCTCCAATTCCCATATATTTTTATATATGCTCAAATTGCTTCCGCTGTGTGGGGCACGTGATTTTTCGTGCCAATAAGTGATATTAGAGCTCTAGACTTTGACCTTGGGGCTTGTTCGTGAAATTAAAGTATGGATCCGTATTATTGATCATGTTGTGGTATTTTTATCTTTGATGGTAAAAATGATTTTGAAATTTGGAGTTTGATGATGAAAAGAATTTTTCATGTTATTGGAATTTGGGATATTGTTGAGAAGGGGTTCACGGAACCTAAAGCAAGCTCAAAATCATCAAACGATCTAATTAAAGAATTAAAGAGGAATAGACAATTGGATTGTAAGACATTTCACTATCTCAACACTCAAATCCAGTTGCATGTAGCGAATAAATTTATACACGCAAAGACAACAAAGGAGGCTTGAATATTTTTAATAAATTTCTATAGTCATGGTAGAGAAGAAATTTGTGATGAAAAAGAAAAAAAAAGAATATTTTAATAAGTCAAAGAAAGAAGAAATTGCAGGTACACTTAAAGATGAAGAATTTGTGATTGAAAAAAAGTTCGCAAGTGTTTAAGAGAGAAAGTGAAATTAAAGATGTGATTGAAGATTATGACAATACATAAGTTATTAATTTTGTCGAGATTGATGATTTTCTTGAAGAGAAAAATCAAGTGATAGAATTGATTAAAAATAGTTTGTGAAGTGGACAAATTAATCGAAAGTTGTGATACTGTTAAAAGTGATGCAGTTGTTAGTGCTGAAAAAGTAAAAGAAAAACATGATGATGTTAAAAACATTAATTGGTAGCGGCAACTATGATTTTTTGGTTTTGGGAGATTTTATTAGTGACGTAGCTAAATTAAATTATGAAGCATTGAATGAAGAATGGGTGGATATGTTTGAATTTTTTCATAAGAGTAATCAAGTCAAGAAATTGATCGAAAACTACAAATTTCGTCCATTATTGCGCGTGAAGATAAAATTGGAGATCAATTACAAGTTGGAGTTCCATGTCATCTATACAGCAACCAAGTTGTTCATGGAGATTCAAACTCATGATAGCATTGGAGATGACAACGCTAAGAGCTTTGTTTAAGGGAAGTAATGAAGAAAATTAAACCAAACTACTTTAATATTTATTTTCCTAATTTGTTTTGATATCTTATTTATTTAGTTTCCGTATTGGTTTAAGAAATCTAAAATCAATTTTTCGAGTAAGTTTCGGTTTACAATTATATTTGTTTTAGAAAATTTTGATGTTTATAAATACTACCAGTTTAGTAGGTTATTACTCAAAGAATTAAGTTGAGTCTTGTAAGTAGGTTTGAGAGAAAGTCTCATAATTGAGATTTATGAGTTGTCATGAGCGAAAAGTTAAAACTTGATATTGTTATTGGTTGGGTTTTGTTGAGATTTGAGTTAATTAAATTATTGAGTATTTATTATTCCTTCTCTTCCCACATATTTTTATATGTGTTAAAATTGCTTCTGTTGTGTGTGTGTGCGATTTTTCGTGCCAACACTCTTTTAATAGAGTAGTTCATGAAGTAGACTATTATAATTAATCAGTATGATAGTAGAAGTTTTTCTTTAATATGAACCATCTAATTGCCACGGCCAGTCATGGTAACCTACAATTTTGAAAAGAACCCGCCTTTTAGTAGCATGTAATTAATGTGTGACTTTTAGATTCTGATTCCACCACTAGAGAAGCCGCCATCTAGAACTTTAGCAGTTTCTTCCAAGACATATCTCTAAGTAGATGATGGCTTAATAAGCGGCATCCGGTATTCTCAGAATTTTGCGATACTACTACCTAGTCTACACCTCCCAGTATTAAGCCAAATTGCAGCCTTCTTTTCAGATTTCACCTTTCATTGTTCAAGTGCAAGTGAATGGCAATAATAATAAGCAGCAGCAGAAGATCTTCGAAGAGTGAAAAAAGTTCATAACATAACCTATAACCTGCGCCGAATAGTCATTTTACAAGCCAAATATAACATTCATCTTCCCTGCAACATGCATATTTTTTATCAGGTCAGCAAGTGATTATTTGGTGGACTGTAAAATAACCTCAGTCCTTCGCTATCCAACTATCACAAAAAGGTTACAAGGGGTTCTCTAATGCAATTTTGCAATAACCTCAGTCCTTCGCCATGCGCATTTGAAAGTGAAATTTTCTTGATATTAAATGAAACTATTAACATCAGTGAAATGTCATAATCCTGAAGCGCAGCCAAAAGGTAAACATATCTGCTGCTCTGATCAAATGAAATTGGATAAAAAATCAATCTCTAACATCCACTGCTCTCTGATCTATACTTTCAGATGTGAAAAAAATTCAACAAATGACAGTTGCAAACTAAATAGAACATATCATGCTGCAGCCAAAAGAGACTTGGCAGGAGGTAACAAAGCAACAGCTCCTCGTTCAGTGTTTGAGTATTTTCTGTAGATCACCTTCAGCCTATGTTCTGCAGCCACAGAATGGTAGCTAACCAGTAGCTTAGCGCAGTCTCTGATTGAACAAATGATGGAAATGACACACGTCAGTAAATTGTTATCCATCAGAGAAAAACTTTTGCAACATCAGATTGCTCAGGTATTGACTTACAATATTTGTGTCTCAGAGAATCCAGTATGGAACTTCAGAGTCTCGTCCCAAAGAGGGCTTTTATTCAAGGTGCATCTTGCAGCATAGACTGCTGAGGCAGCAATCATAGATGGACAGTAGATAATGGTTGCATAATTCATCAGTGCTAGCTCTGCTAAGAAGTAGACCATATTCTCCATCTATTTTCAATGACAGAAGTTAGTTTAACTTGTCAGAATGTTCGCATAAATAAATTATCAGAATAACCAAAATTGGAGTTGAGAAAATGCGCTTACATTAGAATCAGGAATTGAGGCCTTGACAAACCGTACGAGGAACACGTATGGTGTTGGGACTGTTAGATACCATTCCAGTGCACCAAGAATGCGTTTTTCCATAACCAACACCTGCTCATGAGTGTAAGCTCTATCTGACATGCACACAAAGTCATTCACCTGCATTATTATACACAATTCATCAGATTAACTTGCCCAAAAAAAAAACTGTAAGGATTCATTATTCATACACAACAACTTACCTCAGGAGCCCAGATTTCCTCATACTTGGAAGCTATAAGCATGGCACTCATACCAACTAATTGGAGTTCCTTCCTCAGAATTGTCTGGACAGCAAGGTACCTGTCAACTATGTTGATTGTGAGGTACAGAGTCTCTGGATTAAGCTCAAACTTATGGTGCACTTCAATCAGCCAATCAATCAGAATTGCCCTCATTTTTTCATTTATCTCAGGTTGTGAATGCATGTAATCACCAATTCTGCTCTCATTCTGCATCACGAAAAAAGGCAATCATTATTGGAAACAAGGAACAATAGGAAAACCAAGACCTTTATGTCGAAGTTCTACAAAAAAGATCAGGATTTTATATACCTCAGCAAGCTTGTAGAATTTGTAAATATCTTCAACATATTCAACAACTGCCAACTCGTTATTCACATCAGCAGCATCAATATCCACTGTAATTTCCTTCTGTTTTCTACTCAAGCCACAGGCAGCCTTGCTTCTAGCAGTAAGGGTTGAAGATAGAGTTGAGGCTGTCTTCTTTGAGGCCGCTTCACCAGTCTTTTTCTTGTTCTTTTCCTTCTTAACTTCCTCAGAAGATGAACTGATTTCAATTACAGCTTCAGGCTTAGGTTTGGCAACAGCTTTCTTCTGATTTGGCTTCTTAGCTCTACCACCCTGTGGCAAGACTCCATCAGCAACAGGGGCCCCTCCTTCCACATTAACTGCCACACATTTCTACAATAAGGGACAAACCAATCCAAACTGTTAGTAAAACTGCAATTCAATCTGTTCATAATATCCACAAAGAAAGTAAAAAAGATTAACTCAGAGATAATTAACCCAACCTTCTGGTTTTCAGCTGCTGCCGCCGCCTGTGCATTGGCTAACAATTGTGCACAGAAACTCCTGAGACAACAAAAGTAGAAATCATCAAATACAAACTAAACATATTATGATAGTCAATAAATCAGGAAAAAGTAAGAATGGTGCAAAGCGGAAAAAGAAATATAATCAATTAACACAAAATAAAAATTTTTGCCGAAATAGAAAAAGGAGGGATGGAGATGACCTTGTAACAGGTCTGGAGATCTGAGGAAGTGGTTTGCCTTCAACAGGACGGACAGTCACCATATTTCCAATGTCTCCAAGTGCACGACGATTCTTTCCTTCTGCTGCCATCTTCTTCTCTTTAACACCTCCAGCAACTCCCTCAACTTCAAGAAAACAAACTTTCGATTAAATGATGTTCAAGGAACTCAGCAATTTTGATAAAGAATTCAGAATCTATTAAAAATATCTGTATCTGCTCACACAGATTTGCAAGATTCATCAGTCGAAAAAGAAACTAATAAATCAATTTGGGCTATAAAGAAAATCCGAAACCAAATATAAGTTGAACATTTAGTCTAGGATCATTCAAGAAAATCCCATGTTCAGGGTAACTTTAAGAAAAACTTATAAGCCCAGAAAACCCTCATGAATGATAAACAGATTATATATGTTTTACAAGAATTTAGCTCGAAAGAACAAAAGTCAAAAGTATTGGATCATTGATATCCAGTGTCAATAACCCCCTTCTTTCTCAGAACAAAAAAAAAATTTAATAGAAGAGAAAAAAAATACATTCTATCATGAGGTTTTTTATCAGTTACTATTGCATCAACACAAGGAGAAATAACGAAGAAAGTATAATCTTTCCAAGCTTAGCATTGAACTTGTACAGAAAATATATTAACATTAAAATCTTCAAACTAAAAGGTGCAAAAACGCCCACGGAAACCATGACCTTCAAGAAATATCAGTCCCCACAAAAACAGACCAAAGAATCCAAAAACCATGAAATTAAAAGAACCCCATCATGATTTTCTCGTTGCTTTTATGGAAAATCATGAAACAGATGAACATTCAATAGAAACCAAAAAAAAACCATCTCTCAAAATTTAACCTTGAAGCCAAAAGAACAAGTCTTAATCAATAATACCTCTGTTTTGTTGCTGAACAACTTGTCTTGAAGCCATTAAAAAGAAAAAGCCTTTCTTCTTCTTCTTCTTCTTCTTCTTTCTTCTTCTCTCTGGAGATCTCTTCCCTTCTCTTTCTCTTTCTATCTATGAGAATTGGGAAGGCGGAGAAGAGTTCTCTTTTTGAAGCTGAAGAAGAGGCGCTTTGTCTCCAACGGTCTTATTTTTGTGGAAATCTTGACCGTTGGATTAAGAGGCTGATCCAACGGCTGTCAATTGGGTTTCTAAATTGGTCTCTGTTGCCTCTTTTTAGCCGTTGCGACTGTTCAAAGTTACCGTTTGTGGGGTTAATTTTATAATTATTATAAATGGTAAGTCGGTTATAGCATGATTCTCTACAGTCGCTTCCACCATAGCTTGATGGATTTCGAAAAAGAATAATGGTATTTCGCCACGTGGACAAAGAAATTTATTTCTTGACGGTTTTAACCCTCATTTTGTCGCTGCTGCAACTTGGAGACCAAAATGGTAAACTCTGGCGAGGTAGCGTGGGCAGTTTTGTTATTGCAAGAAAGGGGGAAATGGTTACTTAAAACTTGGATTAATTGCATGAAACCCCACTAAACTTTTGGTGGATTGCAGTTTACACTCTCCAACTTTTTGAGTAAGCACTTTACCTCCATTTTAATGTTCGTAGACCAAAATATCATCAAATATTTTGTTTGTTTCTTTTTCTTTTCCTTCTAAATTCTAATCTTTCTTTCTTTCTATTCATTCTTCACCAAAATTCTCCAATTATCATAGTCATTAAACCCGGCCCGGGGAGGAACCCAATAAAAGAAGTGGGTCAACGGGTTACTGGTTCAACCAGTGGATGAGTGGTCCAACCGGTGAGTCATTAAATATGCTTAAATATTATATTTCATAATTATTAATATGGTTGAAACTATAATAAACTATGTCATAGTAAATACTCAGTTAGTCCAATTTATTATAAAATCATTAATTCTTATAAGAATTAACAAAATCTAAATTTAATTAGTAATCCACCAAATTCCAAGTATAAAATTTTATCTAAGTATAGTTATTTAGTTTATTTAAGAATTTTAAGTGCAAAAAGTTATTAAGAATAATATTTGTCTTTAAAATAAATTGTGTAATATGCTATTTTTTAAATCCATTCATAACTTATAGAATTTGGGGAATAATAAAATTTTATTAAAAGATTCTAAACAAATTTTGTTTTGAAGAAATAAAATAAGAATAAAGGTCTAATATATAATATACAAGGGCAATACAGACACCAAATGATTTGTTGGTTCAGTGGTTAGCGCGCTTCATTCTTGTGGTTGAGGTTTGATGTTCAATTCTCTATTGCAACATCTTCTAAACATTTTTTACACAACAACCGGGTTCTTACAAAACCGTCCGGTTCAACTGCACTGGTTTGTTGACATGTCAACGGGTTTCTTGCACAAATGATCCAATTAACAACTCAACTCGGTTTCATAGACGGTTCACCGGGTTGACCAGTTGAACCGCCGGGCCAGGCATCTTTAACACAACAACCGGGTTCTTACAACACCGTCCGGTTCAACCGTGCTGGTTCGTTGACATGTCAACGGGTTTCTTGTACAAATCATCCAATTAACAACTCAGCTCGGTTTCATAGCCAGTTCACCGGGTTGACCAGTTGAACCGCCGGGCCAGGCCGAGTTCAATAACTATGCCAATTATACTCAATTTATATTAGGTGTTTGTATTGAATTTAATGTTTCTTTACTTATCTTTTATGTATCTTTCTTTTCTAATTTTTACAGTTTCTATATTTCATTCAAATAAACAAAATATTCAATTAGAAATTCCTTTGTGATATTTCAATCTAGATCTTTGTGTATAGTGGTAAGACCGTAAACAGACTTGTTGCTATTGATACAAACCAGGATGTATGGTATTTGAATTCAACTAGGTTATAGTTTTTGCTATTTTAACATTTTTGGGTAGAACGTTAAAAGAATATTAGCTTGTGATAATCAAAAAAAGTCTAGCGATGCTTTAAGTATTCAGTGGGAGGTAAAGATGTCTAAATGAAGGGAGGAAAAAGAAAGAAAATAAAGAGCAATGAAGGACCAGAAAGAAAATAACTGCAATAATAAAATAAGTTGCAGGTAAAGAGTAAAATTCCTAGATCTCGAGAGTCCTTGTGGTCAAAAAACATTGGATGGAATTAAAGTTTCCATTTGAAAATCCACGGGGAAAAATGCAAGACAACAAAAGTTCATCAGTTTTATTGCAATTAACCCATCTAAACTTCTTTCTGATATAGAAAAATTTCTACTTACATTATTTTCATCTTTCTTTGGGTTTTTTTTGGAGCTATTTTCTTGTAGGTTGTTTCACTTAGGCAACTAGTTTTATTTATCTGAAATTATAAAAGGAGTAAATTTGAGAAAAAGAAAAAGGGGACACCATTTTTTTTCCTTTGTGAACGGGATACCATTTTAAGTCAAGTTTTTTTTTTAAATTAAAGTCTAACTTTTGATATGATAAAACTTTAAAGTATATGTAAAAAAAAAATTATTATTTCTTTTATTGAAAATGTATAAAGTAAATGAAATTTGAACTCATTATGCAAATAAATATTCGGTTTGGAATTAAATTTGCTAAAAGTATTTTCCACTTTCTTCTATTTTAAGCTAATGTAAGAAGGACTAAAACTTTGATCTCCTATTGGTGTATAAGTTATGATCACATGCTTGATCCTATTACTTCTAATTGGTTCTTCATTTTGAACCTCCAATAGATTCAACATATAGTTCTTTATTCTAATTTTTAGTTGTGTGATTTGTTTTCATAGGCATCAATGCTAAAGTTGGACAAATGATATAATATATACTGTCAGCTTTTTGTGCAAGTTCTATTGTTCTAATATAAAATTTTAATTAATATATTTAAAAATTTACAAGACAGCATTGCTCATGTTCTATTGTTCTGATCCATGTTTGCGAAGGATTTTTATATTCTTCCTTGATCTTGAAGGAGTAAACGCACGTTTACCCCTTTTACATGAATGACACGTTTACTCCTTTGGCGAAGGTCGTGTTTGGATTGATATTTTTTGGAAATAAACTTTATACTTTTTTTGTTAATATTTCTTAGTTAACTTTTTACCTCGTACACGTTAGATTCTAAAAAGTATTACAGTAATTTTTTTTTGCCTAAGAGACTCCTGAAAATTTGCAATCGAAAGGACCTGATAGCCAACATATCATTGAATTTGATATTAATGTCAAAACTACGTAATTTCAGTTCAATTAGAGTTAAAAATAAAATAAATTAAAATGTCAAAACATTGGTAGAGCAAGTCAAATAACAATGCTTGGCATAAATTTTATTTTGGATGAGTATGAAACGGAATAGATTTTGATATCAATAGAAAATGCCCATAGCGAATACGGGACAAAATAGTGGAGCAGGTTTTGGAAATGCAGTTGAAGTATTACATCAATTATTTTCTGATTTCTTATTTAAGGGGAGCAAATTTGAAACTACGTAGTATTGATACTAGAAAACTGTGAGAAATATAATTGCTATCCAAATTGATTAAAAAATGTCTTTATAATGTAAACAAAATAATATTTGCAAAGATATTGCTATCCAAATAAATAAATTACAGGTAGAAATCTGCACAAGCATAAAAAAAATGATGTGTAAATATTATTTAGACACATGATTTTTTTTTTTTGTTTACCTAGGTGATAGGTAATAAGTCTTTTATCACAAAAAGAAAAATACAATTTCTCAGATTCTTTCAAACTTATATAAATTTTTTTTTTTTTTTCAAAAACCATCTTCGAGAATTAGATTAACAGTCATTTTACTAGATTCGCCATATCTAGAAAATAGAAATTAAAGAAAAATAACATTTGTGGTTGAGAGCAAAAAATCGTGAATTTCGCGACTCTTGAATAAGGTCTCCATAATAGGCATTCAGCCGTCCCTACCACACACAGAAAAGTCAAAAAAAAAAAAAAGAGAAAATGAGACCATTCCTATAGTAGGCAATGAGCTGAAATAAACCATTGATGATTAGCAGATTTTGTTACAACCAATGATTAGGCTAACAAAAACCTTGCCTAGAGTGGATGTAACTAATTAGTGGAATCAATACAAACAAACAAGAAAATGGAGATAATCACACTTGAAAGCCTCATGCTACTCACATTAGTGGAAAAATTAGAAATTGGTTAAACTTTACACTAAAGCATCATCATCTGGTCCAGCAAGCATGACCTGCCATTCAGAATTGTCACTTTAGCATCGATGAAGCTATAGACATGACAGAAACCAAATCTTGATTTGGTATTAACTCAGTTTCTTGAAGCTATAGACATTGACAGAAACCAAATCCTGCCATTCAGAATTATCACTTTAGTATCTATGAAGCTATAGACATGACAGAAACCAAATCTTCATTTGGCATTAACTCAGTTTCTTGGTTTCGGCATTTTTCTTTACATTAATGGACAAAGAGCTGAATCAAGCACTACAAAGAGTCAAGACTCAAGACATGTTGAAAGAAGACTGATTTACTCTCCCGGAGTAATATGCAAAAGGTTCTGATTTGTGAAGCATTTAGTGTTCTTGGTATGTTGGCAACTGGGAAAGATGTGATTGATCTATTTGGTACTGATGTGCATAATACATCAGAACGATCTAGGATGCAGGCATCAGCTAGAGTACTAGTGACAGGTAGTGCTGAGTACCTTGGTCCTCAACTCTCCATGCAAACTGTGAGAGAATTCACAGGCTCTGAGAATATGACACTAATTGTAGAAAAGCATTACTTGTATGATTTGGATCATTTGAATCTCATGAAAGATACTCTTATTGTAATTTGAATGGCAACGAGTGACTGCTTCTTATACCTTTCTATAGAGTCGCAATATATTTCATAAAGATTCGACTCCACAATGGATGATTAAGTATACACATAAACTAATTCCTAGAAAATTACATCTCTGAAGAGTCGAAACTCGTTAAAGGTCAAATCTGTTCCC